GCCCTGGGCTGGTCTGGGGGGCAGACACAGGTGCTGACCTGAATGTTTCAGCTCACTGACATGTGATTAGTCACCCAGTTATGTTTGGTGGGGTGGAAAACAGACATGGGAGCATGGTGGACACTGTGTCCATCAGGGGCGGGTGCTCAGGTCAGAGGTGACATCTCGTGTTCTCAGTGGACTGAGGGGTTTTCTGGGTAGAAGAGGCCGAGGGGCAGATGAGCAGCACCAGTGTATTCTCTGCAGATGAGTGTATCTGAGGCTGGTGAGGGCCCCTCCTTGCTGGACATGGAGCAGGACACACAGGGCCTGTTCCTGGGGATCCCACATGGTTCCCCAGATGACACCTGCTAGGGCTGTGATGGAGAACAGGCCCCTTAACCCCAACAAGCAGGTGTGGGGTGCACAAGGGGGAATGGGAGGTCAGGGGAAGCCCCTCTGAGCAGGTCACTTCAGGGGAGGCCTGAAAGGTGAGGGTTTGGGGAGCAGAGGCAGCAGGAGCATCAGGGACTGTGAGGAGGCCTGAGGCTGGGAGAGCTCCCTGAATTGGAGGAGTCACCTGAGCCAGGAGGGGGCCCAGGGAGAGGAATAAGAGGGGGCCAGAGAGGGAGAGGAGGCCTAGGACCCCCTCCTTTAAGCAGAGGGATCCCCTGAAAGGATGAGGCAGGAGTTGACACAAGTTGACTTGACAGTGTCATGAACTTGGAAGAAAAAGCAGCTGGTGTAAGTGAGGCTGGAGTTGGGGTGGGGAGACCATGAAAATGTCAGGCAATTGGCCAGGTAGGAAATGTGGGTGGCTTAGAATAGGTGCTGGCAGTGGACAAGGATTGAACGTTTGGTGCATGGGAAGTAGACAGTGAGGGGAGTGGGCTGTGAAGATGACCTGGCAGAGTCCCTGGCAGAGATAACCTGGGGGACACATGCGGCCTTCACTGAGAAGGGGAAACCACAGGAAGTCGGGGGGGGGGGAGGGGAGGCCCAGGCTCCCTGGTTTCCTTGGAGACGTAGAATCAGGACTTCCCGGTGACTCCGTGTCCTGGAGGGACAGGGTCTGGTCACTGTGACCAGGTCTCGGGTGACATTAACATCTGAACAAACCGCAGGACCTGTCCACGCAGTGTGGGCAAGACCAGGTCCTGGTAGCTCCTGGTGCCCAGTGCTGACTCCTGGGGTCCATTGTGTGGGGCTCCTGGGTCAGCTGCTGTGAGGAGAAGAAAATCAACTCCCTTGGGGCTCCTCACGGGCTCTGCCATCTGGGATGAAATGTTCCATGGGGCCACTGCGGTGGTCACCTTCTGATACAGGAAGAGCCCTGCACAGGGCTGAGTGTGGGGCCCTGACTGGGCCCCACACTCACCCCTAGTTCTGCATCTGGGAGCCTGGAGCACAGTGAGTGCTCAAGAGTGGGTGCTGGGTGGGCGCCTCCTCTGTGCCTGCAGGGGTTAGTGTGCCTGCCCCTCCCCTCTGCTGGCTCCTCTGATCCTGCTGTTTCCCTGCTGATAACTGGGGTTCACTGTCCAGAGGGCAGGGTGGAGGCTGCTGGGATTGCATTTCAAGCTTTCACTTTCAAATAGTTTTGGAGCTAGAGAAGGGTGATTGTGTTTTTAAGAGAAAAGTAGGAGGATCTCAGGGATTCCACCCTTTTTCAGACACCTCTCAACGAGTGCCAAATTCTTCCTGTCTACTGTACTGGGAACCATCTTCACTGAGCCATGAGACAGCCCTGGCACCTGGCATGGCTTCTGAGCAACTAACAGCAGGTGCTAACTCTGTAAGAAGATTTGGGGAAACAAAACACTGAAACTTCTCAAGTTTGAAGGGAAGCCCTAGAAGCCCCACCAGTTCAAAGCAGGTATGTCAGTTTTGAAGACATGTTCCTTTTAAGAAGAAAGTGGGGAGCAGTTGATTGTAAGGAGGGGCTGAGAAGGTGATGGGGCTTGGGTGTGACGGGAGGTGGCAGAGGGAATGGTGCAGCTCTAAGAGGACCCAGCACAACCTCATTGAAGATTGCACTTCACTTATTTTAATAATGTGTCTGTAACACTCCTGAGGCAGGACCCTGTTCTAGAATTAAAGGTAGTGACTCTTCAAAAATAATTCATGTAATTTTCATTGCAACCTTGGTTGGGAGATGCTGACATAAGTCGCATTTTTCTGTTGGGGAAAGTGAGGCAAGAAAGTTAAGAGATTTGATAAAGATGGACACACAGAGAATGACTGAGTCCAGAGATGACCTCAGAGTCAGCCCCAGAATCTGTCCTCCCAGGGCAATTGCCTGCCTCTCCGTAAGCCCAGCTAGTAGGTGGCTTGAAGTTGCTTTCTCTGACCAGGTCTCATCTTCCCTTCTCTGTTGCTCTGTCTCACCAGGTTCCTCACCCCAAGGCAGAAATCCCACAACCCCAGAGTTAGAGAGGACGAGGACGAAGCCCTCAGTGGGGATCTGACCCAGCTCCTGCTGTGTTTGGGGCAGGGCCTTGTCCTTGTCCTTGGCAGATCAGGGCTGGGGGGAGGGACTGACCTTTGGGTGAGATAAACAAGCAGACAGAGCAGGACAGGGGCCTGTGGGGGGACCCCGACTCCTTGGGGACAGTGTTGTGTTTCCTGATGCTTCTCAGGGACCCGTCTCACATTGAGGGGGACAGGACCACAAGCAGGCGCTGGCCTCTCCTTCCTGGGGGCCTGGGTCTTTGCCAGTGTCCTGGGGAGTCACTGGGTGTGATGATGGGGAGGGGAGGGCAGTTTGCATGCCGGGCCCAGGTGCTGGGAATGGAGGGGCCTGGTGTTCTGAGCAGAGTGGATCTGGGGTGTGGGTTCCACGGGGTGGGAAGGGAAGGGAGGATGTTTTTCTCCAATAAACCTCATGGTCTCTAGCAGCACAGAAGCTCAGAAGCCCTGAGGGGAGCCAGGTCTGTCCTCCTTGGTCTCAGGGCCTAATGGGTCACCAGGAAGGGCCCTGTTCCTGCTGGTGGGGGTCCCTGAGCCCTGCTCCCCACTGAGCCCAGAGGTCCTGGCTGCCCTGCTCCTCCATGTGGGCCTGGCTGCCTGCCCTGTCTCTCCCCAGCCCTGAGGAGATGGCGCCCTGCTCCTGCCCCAGCTCTGTGCTCTGCCTCCTCCCCTCCCTGCTGCTCCTCCTCCAGCTGCACTTTGCGGGCTCCCAAGGTGAGTGTGTCCCTGTCCTGTGTCTCCCTCTGGTGGGTGGGGCCTAGGGGCTCTGGGAGCTCCTCCTTCAGCACTTGCCTTTGTTCATTTAACTTAGCATAATGTCTTCAAAATCCATCCATGTTGTTTTAAATGGCATGATTTTACTTATTAAAAAAAAAAAAAAATATCTGTGGGCCTCCCTGGTGGTGCAAGGGGTTAAGTCTCAGCATTATCAAGCCTTCACCAGCCACTGCAACAGAAGTTCCATCCCTGGTCAGGGAGCTACCCACATGGTGCAGCAGACCTCTCCTGTCTTGCCCACTGCTCCCTTCAGCAGTGTATTTCCATCAGTTTGCCTGTTTTGTTCCCCACTCTGTCTCTGGTGAATCCTCTCACCCCACACCTCTGACTTACATCCCAGCTCTTTATGCATACATAAATAAAATCTTTAAAAAATCTGAGTACTATTTCATTATGCGTGTGTGTATATATGTAATTTTTTTTATAATAAATTTTATTTTTATATGCCCATACAATTTCAACCCCCCCATTTTGACCCCAATCCCTCCCCTCCTTCCACCCACCCCCCCAAAAGTGTCTCTGGTTCATAGTTTTTTGTTGATTTTGATTTTCACTTTCTTATAGTTATTCATTTTCCTGGTCCCTTATTTAAGTTTTCTAGATTCCTGCTATGAGTGAGACCATCCGGTATTTTTCTTTTTCTTCCTGGCTTATTTCGCTGAGCATGATCCCTTCCAGCTCCATCCATGTTGCTGCAAATTGCATGTGTTTATCTTTTTTGAATGCTGAGTAATATTCCATGGTATATATGTACCACATCTTCTTGATCCAGTCATCTATTTTTGGGCATTCGGGCTGTTTCCAAAGCTTAGCTATTGTAAATAGTAATTTTACTCTATTTCTTTGACTGAATCTCTGTTCCTGTCTCTCTCTCTTCAAATTGTGGAATACCCATTATGCTTATGTTGCCTTTCCTCATAAAATTGGTTAGTTCCTCCCATTTTTCTTCATTTTTCTTTTTTTATTCTAATTCATTCCATTGTTCATTATTATCATGAGGTCACTGATTTGATCTTACATTTGGTCTATTCTGTTCCAATAGCTTCTCCAGGAGTGAGTAGCTTCTCTACTGATTATTTTACAGCCTCCATATCTGTGATTTTAATTCACTTTTCTGAGTGTGTTTTTTTTTTTTTTTCCATCTCTTTGACTTTCTTTATTATGGCAATTTGAACTCTACTTGATAGCAAGATATGATCTTCCATGTCTTTGTAGTTGCGTATTGCAGTGTTGGTCTGGTCTTGTGATTTCATGTTCCCTTGAGTCCTCAAGTTTCTGGGTCTTATTTTGCTGCTTTAATTTTCATATTTTCGAAAAATGCATGTGCAGTGGTAACTTAGAGAGTTGAACTACTTCTAACTTTCCATCAGGTGACTCTGTTGTGTGTTTAGATTTGTAACTTATGTAGGACTAGATACCTGATCCTTGAGATGATGAGTCAGAGACTGTGGGGCCTGCAGTCTTCCAGCCTTTGGTGCAGGTGCTCTGGCTGGGGTGTGTGAGCTCATGTTTGTGGCACCCCTGACACCCACCTCTCCCAGTTCAGTCCTGAGACTCTGCCCTGTGCACACTGTCCCTGAGCTTCAGGAGGGCGGGGCTAGTCCTGAGGAGGGAGTGAGGATGCATCCAGCTATGTGCCTTGCTTCTTCACTGGGGACCTTGTTAGCTGGGAGTGCCCAGTCAGAGCTGTGAACCCCTCACTGTCAGCTCTCCCTGCCCAGGGTCACATGCCTGGTTGAGTGACAGCCCCCCAGTGTGTGCAGCAGCCTCCCCCCACACCCCCAGCCTGTAGGTGTATCTCTCTGCCTAGCTCTAGTAAGTGAAGCATGACTCTCCTTTGTGTCCCTTTTGGTGCTGTCTTCCTGGTGACTTCTGTATAAGAGTATCCAGTCTTGTTGCAAGCCTGGTGTTCTCTGGGTATCCTGTTCACTCATTAACATTGATGATCCTCTGTGCAGTGAAGCTACCAATTTCCTCAAACACCTTCTTACTCCCACAAGAACTCTTTTGAAATGCATGTTCTTGGACACATCCCAATCTGCCTACCTGGGGTAAGGTCCCTGCATTTTACTATTACAAGCCCTCCTGGTGATTATGATGGTGAAGGTAAGAACCATGCAGTTAGAGTTCTTCATGGAAGGTCCCGCTATCATGTTCACTTGTAAATGAGGGAACATCTTTGACATTATTTGTAGACTACAAGTTGTGGTTGGAAGATCTTTCCCAGATTCAGAATTCTCACTGCTCAATCTTTCATGTCAGCTTTCTTCTCATCATACAATTTTCCTCAGCCCTCCTAGGCCTCCCCAGTGATAGTGTGTGTTCCCTGAGATGACTGTGTCTCTCAACCTTTCTAACTTCCATGTCTGTGTTCACAGAGAGGTTCAGTGTGCTTGGCCCCTCAGATCCCATTGTGGCTGTGCTGGGGAAGGATGCCACACTGCCCTGCTTCCTGGACCCAGTCATGAGTGCAGAGAACATGGAGTTGAGGTGGTTCCGGTCCAATATCTTGGAGTCAGTGTTCACCTATCAAGACCAACAGGAGCGGAATGAGGAGCTGATGGCCCAGTACGCAGGGCGGACCTCGCTGGTGGGGGAATTCCTCAGTGAGGGGGAGGCTGCTGTGACCATCCACAAGGTCCAGGCTTCTGACAACGGGCTGTACACCTGCTTCTTCAGCAACGGAGTCTTCCGTGAGCAAGCCAGCTTGGAGCTGCAGGTGGCAGGTTGGTGGCATGTTAAATATCTCAGAGTCCTGGAGTTTTGGAATTGGGGAGAAAATAAGGGCAATGCAATTTAGTTTTTCATTTCATTTATGAGTAAGAAAAGGCTTATTAATTCATGTTTTATGAAATGTAAATATACAGGGTACCTACTACATGTCTGGCCCTGTTCTAAACTCTTGGATACAAAAGCAAATCTAATAAAGTTCTTCACTCTGTGAGTTTATATTTGTAGTGGGAGAGAGAGCAATCGTAATAAATAAATAGGGCATAAATGACGTTTCAAAGTGAGAAGGGATGAGGACAGGAAGCTAAATGGAGCAGAGGAGATGGGTGAGCAATGTGGGGCTGGGGCTTAGGGGAGGTTATAGTAATAAATAGTAGCTCAGGCTGTTGCCATGAGATCAAACACTGCAGGGAAGTGGGATTAAAGCTGAGTAGATGTATGGGTGTTCCTTTTTCCTCAGTTTTATAGACAGATAAATAATTAATATGTACCATATGTAATGTGAGGCATACAGCATAATGACTGATTTATATATATATAGTGAAGTGATATCCACAATCGGTTAAATCAAATCTGTCTGCTATTATAGGTTTAATAAAAGAAAAGAAAAAGAAGCAAAAAAAATGGAAAATTTCCTTATTGTGAAAAAAAAATTCTTTGGAGTTTGTCATTTAACAACTTCCCTACATATCACACAGCAATGTTGGCTATAGGCGTGTTGTACATTTCAGGGGAGGGAATTTCTATGTGGAGGCACAGCCCGTGTGAATGACCTGGGGGGAGCGTGTGTTTGGTGTGTGGTCTGCTCACATGGATTCCTCATGGCTCATGGGAGAGTGAGGAGCAGGATGTTGTGAGGTGACAATTCTGTCATGAAAAGATGTTGTGGGTACATGGTGGAGAGATCGAGGGGGACTGATTAATGCTACCAAAGGTAATCATAAAAAACTAACCCTAAGGGGGTTACAATTGTCTGGGGAATATAAAAATAAAATTTATTAAAAAAAATGACAGTGATTCTCTGGGGGAAAAAAAAATACCTCCATATGATGTATGTAGATATTTGAGTTGGGCTGTTATTTTATCCAGCAGGGCTCCATAAAGCCCCTCAGAGCATATGAAGAAAGCATGATGGAGTCCACAGAGCCTGGTGATTGTAGATGACAGCTGTTAAATTCTTGGGTTTGGAATGCTGGGTTTGAGGGCACAGGTGGTAAAAAGTGTAAGTGGTACAGAAGAAGAGGGTTGGGGAGGAGTGAGTCACAGATAGAGGAGTCTTGGTGCACATTTTGTGGTGTTTATGTAGCCGTTGATGATTTTCAGCACAACAGATGTTGACTCTGGCAGTAGTGGGGAGGAGAAGGAAGGGGACAATATCTGGAGGCATGGATTGTGGTTACGGGATGGAGAGGAGGGCTGGTTTCACACAGTGTTAGTGGGTGGACAGGAGGTGAGGTTTAGAAATCAGTGAGGTTTAGAAATAAAACCCAATTGAATGAGGAGAATTGGGTCACAGAGTTAAGTTAGAAGAGGGATTGCAGAGCTTTCCAAGCTTTCGTAGGGTCTGTTTGTTATTCAATTTTAGAAACATTAATAATGTGTGTCAGTTACCTATCATCATAATGATGCTGTGCAACAAAAAACCACAGACAAAAATCTCAGTGGCCTATAGTAATGGCCTTGTATTTAATATGGGGATCTCAGCTAACTTTGATCTTGCTCCTATACCTTTTGGTGAGATGAAGAGGTCACCATGTAGACCTCAGCTGGGTTTTTTCACATGAATGGTGGTCACTGGCTACTGGCTGAGGGAGGACAGCTTCAGCTGGAAAGGCTGGGACTGTGCTGCCTTCAAGGAGCAGGTGCAGGGAGAAAAGTCAGTAGAGGAGATAAGTAGGAGGCCAAGGTAGAACAAACCAACCTCAGAGGGAAGTAACCAACTGCAGATGGAGATGGTTTCAAGATGAGGCCAGGAGTAACCTGTGCTGAAGGGACACAGTGAGAGGACCTTGGAGACTGGGGTTGACAAATGGGAGATTTTGTTGAATCACCCAGAAAGAATGGACTAGAAGGAGAAGCTGCACTATGGTGGAAATTACAAAACACAGCTGTTTATGGATTATAAGTTGGACTCATCTAACAAGAAAATAATTCTACATTGATTTGAACATGTGTCTATATATATAAAAATAATAGAAAGTTATAGATAAACAAATTATGGTCATCATCTTGCTCCCCCAGGGCTGGGGTCTCCACCATCCCCCCAGAATGTACCTTAACAGCCTCCCCTGGAGGTGTGCACAGGAGATCCCTCCCCCACCTGGCTTTCATCTCCCTCCACAGGTGTTGGCTCTGCCCCCCAAGTGCACATCACAGGGCCAGAGGAAGACGGAGTGCATGTGGTGTGCATGGCCTCAGGCTGGTTCCCGGAGCCCCAGGTGCAGTGGACACATTCCCGGGGGGAGCAGTTCTGGGAGTTCTCCAAGGTCCAGGCCCAGGACACTGAGGGGCTGTTCAGCGTGGAGGCTGCTCTGGTGGTGAGAGACAGCTCTGTGGGGAGTGTGACCTGCTCCATCCTCAACCCTGTCCTGGGCCAGGAGAAGGCCATGGCCATTGTCATCCCAGGTCAGACCTGCTCCCCACTCATGCTCCCTGCAGGGTCAAGAGTGGGGCTGGCGCCCCCAGGTGTGCTGTCCTGGGCTGTGTCCTGATGGGGTCTCTGTGGGGTCTCTGTCTGCAGAGCCCTTCTTCCCCCGGGCCTCTCCCTGGAAGCCGGCTTTCCTGGTGAGCCTGCCCTTGCTGCTGCTCCTGCTCCTGGGGGCAGCCTGCTACACCCAGAGAGAACATTCCACACAGATGCGGGAGCTGCAGGAACAGAGGAATCTGGGCCAGGCTAAGGAGGAGGACAGACAGACCAAGGAGGAGGCCCTTAAGGACACAGGTAAGGCAGGATGGAGTCAGGATGGTGAGTGGGTGCTGAGAGCAACAAGCCTATAACTGAGACAGGGCCCAGGGACATCAGAGCAGGTGACTGAGGAGCCCTAGAGAGATTGTAGAGATTGTAGCTAATTGGGTCTCCAGTTAAAACTTCTAGGACACACAAAGATTCTTTTTTGTGGGTTCTCTGGGCTCACATATTTTCTTCTTAGGGATATGGTTTATGCTTTTTTTTGTTCACTGTTACAGATGAACTCCAGGCAATTCTAGGTAAGCTCTGCTCTCCCTACTGAACTCTCTGTGCCCCCTTCATAGGAGACATTCTGGTTCTTAGCTCACCTTTTTCCTGTGTTGTCTTTCAGAACAGAGGAAGGCAGCTTACCTGGCTGGTGAGTGATGCTCCAGGGCTCTTGGATCTCTTGTCCCTTCTGTTCACAAGTGTCTCTCCCCTTGTCTGTGTAAGCACAGACATGTGGACCCTTTTCCTGGGCTGTAAGAGGGAACTGGTGGGGGGCAGGACCCTGATCCATGGGTTCCCATAGATCTGGGTGCTGTTTCTCTTCAAAGTTGTGGGATCCTGGTGAGGTGGTGAACCCAGAGTCTTGTGCATCCTGGGTCTCATTCCAGAGCTGCTCAGTGACTTGCCAAAGCCTCACAGCAGCAGCAGACAGGGCTGGGTCAGTCTGTCCTGCAGACTCCTGACCTGAGCCAGCGATTTCCCACCCCCGCTGCTGTCTGCACATGGCAGGGGGTCATGACCTCTCAGCCTCTCCCCTTCACCCCCAGAGAGTCTCACCTTCAGAACAGGGGGCGCCCAGGGCCTGTAGATCACATGAGCATGTGGTTGTGCTGTCTTACCTGTGTGTTCCCTTTCAGCCTGGAGGAAGGCCCAACTGTATGCAGGTGAGTGGCTCTGAGGGTCCTGGGACCACCTATAAGACTCTCTTCTGCCCTCCTGGAAAGATTAGGGTCCCTGGTCTCCTCTCACTCTGTAGCCTCCGTCTGAGAACTGCAGGCCCCCCTGTGAGCACAGACTTGCCTCCATCTGCCCTGTCCTCCCTGAAGGTCATTGGGGGTGAGGATACCCTCTGACCATTGTCAACTAGTCCTTCCTGTGGGTGAGGACAGTGGAGACGTCAGTTTGAAGAGAAGCTGTAGGAGGGACAACAGTGTAGATCAGTAATTGTTAATCTCTGGAAAATTGCAGAAATTCTGCTTCCTGCTTAGGAATCAGGTCTTGCTAAGAGGGTCCGTGGTTATGGAACCTTCTGGATCCACAATTTCCATCCTATTTTGTATCTAGGTTTTCCTCCTTCTTCTTGGTTCTCTGTATCTTCATGCTCTGGTCCATGCCCAAGCTTGGTATTTGCTCTGAGCCTTTTTGGTTGCTGAGGATTTAGTAGCTTTAGAAAACCTGATATTGGGCCTCCCCGGTGGCGCAGCGGTTGAGCGCTGGGTTGCGAAGCTGCCCGCGGCCTCAGTGGCGCCGGATCGATCCCCGGCTGCTCCCGGCCACCAGAGGAGGGTCCCACATGGCGCGCAGACCTCTCCTGCCCGCTGCTCCCCTCAGCAGTGTACTTCGTCAATCTGCCTATTCTGCTCTCCGCTCTGGCTCTGGTGAATTCTCTCACCCTCCCGCGCTTCTGACTGTACCCAGTGCATGTATGAACAAAAAAACAAACAAACAAATAAAAAAATAAATAAAACATGCCTCTATTAAAAAAAATAAAGAAAACCTGATATTATATGCAAAATTGTGTATGTGTGTGAGAGAGAGAATAATTAGGTAAAAATGTAAGATATGATTTTTCAGAACCATCCCATTCCATTTGAGGAGAATCCTCCATTTGCAGGTCATTGTTCATTTTTTTAAGAGTTAAGGTATATGGACTAGAAAAGGAGGAACTTAGACTGTTCATAATCCTTTCCAAGAGAAAGGGTGGGGAGAATATCAGGAAAGAAAAATCCAGATGGAGGAGAGCAATGGGAAGTAAGTAAAGGGGCATGTGGGAGAAGTGCCTACTAGAGGTTTGGATGTGTTCGGGGGAAAGGATGTCCTGAGCAAACTCCATACAGGCTTTGTGGACTCCAACCCCACTCCAGACCAGAGCCATCAAGACACTGGGAACTACAGATCCCATCATTACCAAAGGGAGGGTGGCTGGGACCTGAGGGTGGAGTTAAACAGCCATGTTAAGCAGCCACGCTGGGTATATAACCAGCCATGTGAGCTCGGATAGCTCTTTTGGCCTGACAGCACATGGCATTTAGTCAGCAACTAGCGGGTCATTGGGATTCCAGGTCAGCAGAACGGGTAAGATGCATTCACAAATTTGTCTCCCTGTTTTTCTCCCTGAGTTATTTGTTTCTTCATTTTCCTTTCCTTTGTAAATAAATCTTTTATTAAACTTTTGTGTATGCCTGTAGTGAAACATTAATATGTCCCTTTTAAGGGCACAGGTGACGACCCACAGTCAGACAACCCATTTTATATTGGGGTCACCCTGTAACAACCGGATAAGAGGGACTGAAGGGAGGCCATAGGTCACAATCACCTTGTTTGAATGTGGAAAGAGCAGAGACTGTGCAAGGCTTGTCACAAAGTATAAGGTGCTATTTGACCCCTTATTGAAGTATTTTAGAAGAACTTACATTTTTAACAACATTTTTGAGGCAACCATCTAATTGAGTTGCCTTTGATAATGACTATCTCCCCTTACCCAACCCAGCACCACCAGGACGGGATCTGCGCCGGGTCCTGCAGGGAAGGTCAGAGATGCTGGTGAAGGGAGATCTGAGTCTCATGAGCCTGAGTCACACACCCTTTCCCTGCTCAGGGGTTTGTTTATGGTCCTGACACAGATCCTGAGACACAGAAAGGGAGCCTGTGAGGGAGGGGCCTGGGACCAGGGGTGTGAGGAGACTCCTGAGAGTCTCCCTGGTTCTCCTGGAGACTCATTTCCACACACTGAGGATCACAGAGTCTTATTTTACCATTTTTCAAATCTCTGCTGATTTTATGTCTCACGTATTTTAACATAACTTTTTTTTGGCATGTCCCCCCACACACCATTAATACACTAGAATCAACATTTTCATATTAACAGGCTTACAGATGGACACATGTGTGTCTTCATATTATTCACAAAATTAATAATAATTTCTCACTTAACAGTTTGCCATAACAATTAACTGTCTAATGCAGTCAGTTCATAAACAATAGTTAATGTGCTTAGTCTCGAAAATTAAATGCCACTTTTGTTTTCTCCTTTGGTCCTTCTGCCCCTTTTTTTGTTCTTGTTTTCCTCTACTCCTTCATTTTTTGTAGATTGCAAGAGCTATCGTGTAGTGTATTATCGTTTTATGTTACATAAAGTCTTTGTGAAAACAAGTAAATTTATTTATTTATTTATTTTTGGACTCTCAGAAAAAATTTACTCAGAGGAATATAGCAGAAATACCCACTGATTAAAAGCAGCTCAAAGACAACCTACATATTCAGTGAATGAGCTCCTTACAAGTACATGCAGTCCTTAGAATACTAATTTCCAGGATGGTCTGTGGTGGACGAATTGAAAAGCACAATTTAATGATCATATCTGGGTAAAGACCTTTCTGTTTAGTTGGTACTCAGTCTTTCAATCCCTGGGTTTTAAGTTTTATAGCCAAATTTGTGTGGAAAGTTCCAGCATATCGGTTGTGTATGTGTGTGTTTGTGAATCAAGAAGATAAATGCATTAACTAAATATTTGCAAACATTTTCCCTTGTAAATTTTGCCTCACTGTCATGTAGAAAACTAGGTGTGGACCCTGGTGGTCAGCATCTATAGTCCCTCACGTCATGACACGTGTCTCTTGCAGATTGGCGGAAGGAGCAGTTCCAGGCCTGTGAGTGACTCTGTTCTCTCTGGGGCTGCTCAGCTTCTGGCCTTTCCTTCTGTTCTCTGTGTGGGTACAGACTCTGAAACCTCCATAGGTGTGGGGTGGGTGCAGCTGTGATGTCATACAGCTGGGCTGGGGGGTGACTGGTCATGGGTGCTGAAGGGGGTCCTTCGTCCTTGGACTCCAGACTTGTTCCCCTCGGGTCCTGTGACATATCTGACCGCTAATAAGACCTGTGGTTCCTTCTCTTGCTTTGTGAGGAGTGTGTGCCCTTGTTATGGGGTGGGGTGAGGGTCTGGTATAATGGGTCCCTCTCTTTACAGGGTCTGTCACTCTGGATCCAGGTTCTACCTGTCCTGCAAATGTCCGTCTATATGACAATAAGAGTCTGACCTGTTATAGTGAAGTCAGTGTGTTGGGTTTTGAGGGCATCACATCAGGGCGCTGTTACTGGGAAGTAGAGATCAGGAATGGAGATCGTAAGTCAAGCTGGTGGAACCTGGGAGTCTGCAGGAAAGATGCTGACAGGAGATATATAAGCAATGTTTCCCTCCAGAATGGGTTCTGGGCTGTGGGCATGTATGGGTATTTTTTAGCCTGTACTGACCCTCCTACTCCACTACTCCTTAGGCAGTTTCCCCACAGGATGGGGGTTTTCCTGGACTATGATCACGGGGATGTCTCCTTCTATGACATGACTGATGGCTCCCACATCTTCTCCTTCCCTCCTGAGTCCTTCTCTGGGACACTCTTTCCATACTTCACCTGTTATTTAGGAGGCGTTTCCATGACCCTGTGCCCGCTGGAGGATGGGCCCCAGAAGCCCTCTGTGCCCATGAACAATCCTCCTTCTCTGGAGGAGCCTGTGAGTCCCCCATGGGAGGGGATCCCGTTAGGCTCTGGTGTGGATGGGGCTCCCCCAGGGCCTGAAGCCCTCCTCCTCCCCTGCACCCCTGTGTCCCCATGAGGCCCCTCCCTGCCCAGTCCTTCTCTGGGCTCTTCTTGGGGCTGCAGGTTCCCTGTGGACAAACCTGTTAGTGAGTTCCGGATGCTGGAGTCTTGTCCTCCTGCTCTGGGTGCAGATTCCTGGGCCGTGGCTGAGAGAAGAATCAGGTCAGGCCTTGTACTGAGGCCACAGAGGAGAAAATTGCTTTACTTTGAACTGGTTTGGGGTAGGATGAACTTTTCCACGGAAATAATTTTTCATTGTTAAACAGAATTTTTCATGGGATTTTCATCCTATTTGGTTAAGAAAGGGAATGAGCTCTGAATTATTGTCTAAGTTAATTGGAGTTTACTTTATCCAACTGGAATTTATGCCGAGGGACACAGAGTGTGAAGGAGGGTCCTCATTCATTTTCAGGGATCTGGACTATCTGAGCAGAACAACTGGCCATCCACACTTTCAGGGAAATGGTGGATGATGGACTTAAAATGGAACCTAATATTCTACTTGCATGCTTCCTATTCCAGAGTGGAAGACATACACATACATTTTCAAGCCTCATAAAATCTTTGTTATTTGTAAAAAAATTTGTGGTGTCTTAATGTACAGAATTTAGGAGAAGCACTTGGGATCCCCTTATGTGTCAACAACTGTTGGAAGGAGAGAACTGCTCCCTGAATTAAGATGAGAATGAAGAAGAGCCTTTCACTCTCAGGGTGACTTGGGGAGTTGTGACCTGAGCTCCAGGTGTCCCTGTGCTGACTCGGTCCTTCCACGTCCTCTGGCAAAGGGTCACGGGAACCACAGCTGCCAGAGGAAGGGGAATACTTAGCCTCAGACCTGCAGGGAGGAAGGTGTGATCCTCCCCCAGGGGACACTGATGTGGTGGGAGGATGAGAAGGAGAAGGGGGAGTGGGGGAAGAGTCAGATATAATAATGGTGTGCAACCCAGGACAAAAAACAAGGATTCTAATAATTTTAACATTTTCTCTTCCTGTCATATGCATTATTTTTTATTTACTTTGGGTGTCCTTTTTATGCATTTATACAAGTAGTTGGAGCTAATGCTTATAATAGAGTTTTTCAGTAACAGAATAAAGGGAATGTGACTGAATTTGAGAAATAAGTAACAGAGCCATGTTAGCTATGAAGATGTGGGCTGCTTGTCTCCTCATTCTGGGGAAACAGACAGTGGGTTGTGTGGGTGTTCAAAGTGTATAAATGGTGTGTGTGGAGCTGAGTAGTCACAGGTGTGGACTCTCCTATGACCCATATGTAGCTTCCTGGCCCACATCCTCTACATGGCCTCCTGGGTGAGCTGGAGCTGGACCCTAGGAGCGTGTCCCTTGGCCCCTGCACAGTGTCAGGATGAGCCCTGGAGGGACACTCCAGTCACAGCTGAGGACACGCGGCTCTCCTGGTCATGATGCTTTTCTTCTGGATCCTATGGTATGATGTAGTGACTTTTTTTTTTTTTTTAACAGTTATTAGTTCCCTCAACTATTATCAATGAAAATTTCGTTCTCTTGTTAAGAAAAACTATTAAGGCCTCCCCAGTGGCGCAGCGGTTGAGCGCTGGGTTGTGAAGCTGCCCACAACCTCTGCAGCGCCGGTTCGATCCCTGGCTGCTCCCCGGCCACCAGAGGAGGGTCCCACATGGCGCGCAGACCTCTCCTGCCGCCCGCTGCTCCCCTCAGCAGTGTACTTTGGTCCTTCTGCCTGCTCTGCTCCCCGCTCTGGCTCTGGTGAATTCTCTCACCCTCCCGCGCTTCTGACTGTACCCAGTGCTTGTATAAACAAAACAAACAAACAAACAAACAAACAAGTAAACATGCCTCTATTAAAAAAAAAAAAAGAAAAACTATTAAAAACTTATAAATGGGTAGAGAGTTGGGTGTCATGACTTTTCAGTCTCACCTTTTGTCCTGACCCGCAGGATTCGGAGGCACAAAAAGAGAAGGGCTGAGGATTGAAATGAGGGGCTTGAGACAACTTGACGCTAGCGTTTGCTTCTTTATTTTTCCTTTATCCTTTTCTTACTTTTACATGTTTTCCTTTCCCTGTCTTTCTTACTTCCCTGGCCTTCTCTCTGCTCCTCTCGCAGTACCCCTTGCCGTATCTCCTTCTTACAGTCTCCTCGCAGTCCTTCTCTCTCTTTCGTGGTTCCCTTCTTATACCCCGGTCGCTCCTCCCATCATACCTCTCAGTCTCGCGTGATTTACAGGAGAACGCAGGGGTTTCTCTGAAGGCGAAACAGTAAATCGAAACCTAATTCATCGAGCACATGTGCAACATGGCGCATGCTCCAGGAGGCTCCGGACAACCTTTGGCATTACAGAGATTATTAGATGCAAAGTCACATAATTATCTAGGAAATGTATTATATTTGACTTGGTATTTTATCATTAATAAAGGATGTGTTTTCTGTGAAGTTGCATGCTGTTTGTTCAGTAGAAAAATAATTCAAAAATTAAAGTTTATTACCCCAAAACATTACCTGCTTTTTAAATTTTTCTCAGCTTATCACTTTCTTGTTTATTTTTTTTATAGAGGCATGTTTTATTTATTTGTTTGTTTGTTTGTTTATACATGCACTGGGTACAGTCAGAAGCGCGGGAGGGTGAGAGAATTCACCAGAGCCAGAGTGGGGAGCAGAGCAGGCAGAAGGACCGAAGTACACTGCTGAGGGGAGCAGCGGGTGGCAGGAGAGGTCTGCGCGCCATGTGGGACCCTCCTCAGGTGGCCGGGGGGCAGCCGGGGATTTAACCGGCGCTGCAGAGGCCGTGGGCAGCTTCGCAACCCAGCGCTCAACCGCTGCGCCACCAGGGAGGCCCACTTTCTTGTTTTTTAAATAAAATTTTTTTCAGCATATTTATTTGGAACTGCATTTCCTGCTGGACAATAAAGAACATATTCTTCAAATTCTTTTTTGTTGCAGGTTACTAATTACTGGCTCATTACTTTTAATAAATTGAATAATTTATTGATGTTTTTATCAGAAAGTCATGTTAGTGACTTCCTGAAAATTATACCTTTCTTATTTTATAAAGATATTTTTCATTTTTTAAAAAGACATTAATTTTATTTTTGCCTACAAGAACTGGGGTGTAGACCCCAGAGGTTTGGGGTGGTGAGAGGATTCACCAGAGACAGAGTGGGAAGTAGAACAGGTAGATCTACTGAAATATTCTGCTGAGGGGAGCTGCAGGTGAGAAAGGAGAGGTCTGCTGTGCTATGTGGGTTAGCTACCTGGCTGGGGATCAAACTGAGGCCATAGAGGTGATAGTGCTGAGACTTATCCTCTAGGCCACCAGAGAGGCTCCCTATAAAGATAATTTTTTTATAAAAAAAAAAAAAGCTTTTTAAAATTATAATAGAATACTTTTATTCTAGATAATTTTAACCAAAATACACTAAAAATCCCCTGTAAATAAAAAAGAGAAAGCACTGAAATATCAGTTATTGTATACTGAAATGCCCTCCCCCTGCAGAACTGAGGAGCAGCTTGAGGAGAGGAGAAGACACCAGGCCCCAGACAGGACAGGGCAGACCCTGGGTCTAGACTGAAGCTGCTCATCTGACACTCATGGTCCTTCTCACCTCAGGAGCTTGTCCACCCCCAGCTGAGCCCCAGAGTCCATGTCCCCAGAGTCCTGGGCGGGGCTTGTCCCCTTGTCCTCTGTGAGCTGTTCCCACCCCGTCTCCCTCCTCTCCTCTCTCTCTCTTTCTCTCTCTCTCTCTCTCTCTGGGCTCAGGAAGGACTCATGTGAGGAGGTGACATCTTCATCCAGAGGGAGAGGAGCCCCCAAGTGGGCAGATCAGGGAGGACTTGGGAGAGTCGGAGTGTGTATGTTCTCAGAATCTTCCTCCCAATATAGTTATATATTCTTCTCCTGGGGACCCCAATCCTCTCCCAGCTCTGCGGGGACCATGTCATCACTGTGACCTCAGGCAGAGCAGACATGGCTCCCTCAGCCCTGGGGGTGCTCCTGCCTGATCTCTTACTTCCCCGGAGCCAAGCTTCTATCCTCCCTGTTTCATCTATTCCTCCAATTCTCCTCCTTGGATAGTCATGTGGCCTTTCCCATGCACCTGGAGGGATCTGTCATATTGTGTGTTGATCAAGAAGATGAGCCATGTTCTACCTGACATGATTTTCTCAGGTGCCCCAGAGACATGAACAACACAGGTTTTGGAATAACTGGGAATCCTGCCTCTGACCAGCTGACCTGGGAAGCCAGAGGTCACCTGCTCCAGGGGAGGAGTGTCCCCTGCTGAGAGCAGCCCCAGGGCAGGAGGCCTCACCCTGCAGGGGGAGGGGAAGGGAAGGCCCAGGACCAGGGGGCAGGTCCCCTTGGGGAGGGACAGTCTGTCTCAGTATTGGGGCCTCTCCTCTGCCCTCCTGCACTTTAGTCAAGGCAGGGGTCACCTCAGAGGAGGAGGGGATAGAAGGAGGATCGTGAGGGGTTCAGGGGACCTCCTGGACCTGTGGGTGTGAACTAGAAGGTTCTGGAGCCAGGTTGGTCTCCTGTGTGACCTGATGCAGGAGCAGCTCCGGGAGGAAGGAGCAGAGCTGACTGACAGGGGAGAGTGAGGCTGATTCTCCCCCACAGGAGCTGGTCTCTGGTGGGCAGGGGGCAGGAGCCATGATGGGAGCAGTGCAGGGTGAGGGGGTGGGAAGGGCAGAGGGACAGAGGGGACCTGGAGGGTGAGGGCAGGGCCCTGGGGAAGAGCCTGGGGCTCACTGGGGAGATGAGGGGAAGGAGGGGCTGGAGGGGCTGAGGCTGGTCCATGCAGTGAGGGTGCAGGTCGCCAGGCAGCTGCCCCTGGTTTCAGAGTAATGTGGACACAGAGCTCAGAGTCTGGTCCTGAAATCTCATCTATGTCCTTACTGCATTTGCTCCCTTTTCTGCCTGCCGTGTACCTGGTTGTTGTTCTATATGTAAGAGCTCAATAAAACCGGAGAAAGCCACCAAGGGCTCCAAGACTCTCCTTTACCCAGTCTGCCAGATCATAGATAACTTGCTAAATGACCTTTCTGCCACTACACGGGGTGGGCCAGGGTTGGGGGGGGCATTCTCCTGGGGGTGAGCCTTCATAGATCACACACTTCAGGACTGTTTGAACTTCTGGGATCCCCACCTTTCCAGGCCAGGAGAACCGATGTTCCCAGGAAGCTCAGCAGCCCCAAGGGAAGGGGAAGGGGCAGGGGCTCTGTGACACACAGGGTGACCACCTGGGGGCTGTGGGTCTGGAGACACAGTGGCTGCTCTGGGGATGGAGCCCCCTACCCCCTTCCTCCTGTGCTTGTTTGTGCTGGTCCATCTGTCTGTCCCTCCCTTTCTCTTCCTCCCCATGTCTTGGCTGCTCTGTGGTCTGGGGGACCCTCCTAAGGACCCATCACACTAGGGTTTGGAGCAGGGGGCCCCTGGGAAGAAGGAGGGGGTGGGGTGTCTTCTCTAGGAGTCCTCCCTGCCAGGCTCCTCCTCTCTTATCCCTGTCTCAGCAGGAGGTGCTCCTGCTCATCAGCACCACTGTGCCACTTCAGCTGCGCCCCCCCTCCCCCGCAGACAGAGCACCTCCTCACAAGGCTGCAGGGGAGCAGCTCAGGGGAATCTCCTTCCCCTTGACTCCCCCATCTTCCCTTCTTCTCCTCCCTCTGTTGCAAAATAAATTCTAGCCTTTTCCCCAGGCAGAGGAAGAACAAGCGGTACTTCAGGAATGGTGAGGTCAGGAAATTTATTACTCATGCATGAGGTCCCAGACCTGGGTAACCCCATAAGGTCTGAGCACATGTCTAGAGACCAAGGTTTCTTTTATACACTACCATCTTACACTGATAACATCAGTTAACAAGCACAACTTTTTGCTGTAAAACTCCTAGACAAACGGGGAAAGATGCAGACATTCCGGGATGGTCCTTGAGAAATAAATCAGCTTGGCTGTCTGTCGAGACATGATGGGCCACAAGCAGGTTTTCTATTATAAGATGAGCAAGACTGCAGCCATTTTGAGAAATAACTGCCATCTCAAAAGGGCACAGCTAGGTTTCGTTTCTGGGCAGAAACCACAACATAAGGAGAAACAAAACCTAGCTGGCACCATGAGAGCTATCCAATCAGGGTGGACCCTGCCCCAGGTGTGAAAAGTCCCTGCATCCTGTCCACAAAGTACAAAAACAGCTGGTTGCTCTGGGAGGGGTCCCTCTCTCAACCTGGTGAGACTGCTGTGTCCGCACTCCAGGCAGAGTTGGGCCCTAGCTTAAGCTAGCAATAAAGCCTTTTTGCTTTTGCATCTCTGGCTCTGTGTAGTCTTTGGGAACCCCGGACAGAATTGAGGCACCAACTCCAACATTTTGGGGGCTCATCTGGGATCCCCAAAAACTATGCAAGGTGACCAGAGTAAGGCTTAGGCCAGAGGAAGACATTTGATTCCTGGTACTTGGTCCCAATGTGGAA